GGATCCACGTTAAATTTGTGTTTATAAGTGCGATAGTCACTTCCGTCCCAACGATGATACCATGTTTCCATGTTTTAGTAATTCCTCCGTAATGGTCCGAGTGAAAGTGTGACAAAAAGTAATGCTCAAACATCGTTGTTCGATATTTAAAGGAGTCGACTGGAAATTCACCGAACATAACACGACTCGGCTCTATCCAGTAAGCTTGTTGTTTTCTCTCTCTCTCGTCTTTTCGTAAGGTTTTGTCTGCCACCAACATTCAAATGAATTTTTCAGTTGTATTTAACAGTTTTATACAATCACACATTTATCACCAATAAATTAAACTCGACAACAAATGATAGAATGGTGACAAATAAAGAGGTATAAGTCGATAAATTAACCAAAAAATAAGAATATAAGTTCATTATTTAAAATTGAACTTCCATTATAACCATTACAAATATAGTATTAAGTTATATATCGATTTTAACATTTTTTAAACAATTTATAAAAACTACTTGATGTTTTTTTTATTCAATCATATAACAATAAAAATAATTGTTTATAGTTTATTAACAGTTAAAATAATCAATTAATTTATAGATACTAAATTAACATCTATTAATATTCAGTTAGTATCTTATTATAGTTAATTTATTAATTATGAATAATAAAAAGAAACCCAAGTAAAAAATCAAATGCTTATTTCTTAGCTGGAGCAGCCTTGGCACCGGCCTTACCACCCTTAGCAGCAGCCTTGGTGGCTTCACCGTGTTCTTGCAAGAACTTAGTGGCATCGTCTGATGGGGCGAAGACGGCCTTGACAACACCGACTGCGACGGTTTGTTTCATATCTCTGACGGCGAATCTTCCGAGTGGTGGGTACTCAGTGAAAGTCTCAACACAGAGTGGCTTGGTTGGGAGGATGTCGATGATGGCGGAGTCTCCGTTCTTGACAAATTCTGGGACACCTTCTTCAGCCTTACCAGTTCTTCTGTCGATCTTGGCTTCCAAGTGGAAGAATTTGCAAGCAATGTGGGAAGTGTGGCAATCGAGGACTGGGGTGTATCCCTTTCTGATTTGACCTGGGTGGTTCATGATGATGACTTGAGCCTTGAAGTACTCGGTCTTTGAGGCTGGCTTGTTCTTGGAATCAGAAGCGACGTTTCCTCTCTTGATATCCTTGACAGTCAAGTTCTTGACGTTGAATCCAACGTTGTCACCCGGAATAGCTTGGGTAAGAGCAACGTGGTGCATTTCGACTGACTTGCATTCAGAGGTGACACCGGTTGGGGCGAAGGTGAGGAACATACCTGGTTTGAGGACACCAGTCTCAACTCTTCCGACTGGGACTGTTCCGATACCAGAGATCTTGTAGACGTCTTGGAGTGGGATTCTGAGTGGCTTCTCAACTGGTCTGACTGGCTCGTTGACGTTGTCGAGTGCTCCCAACAAAGTTGGGCCCTTGTACCATGACATGTTGGTTGATTGGTCGATCATGTTGTCACCCTGGAAACCAGAGATTGGGACGAATGGGATCTTGTCTGGGTTGAAACCAGTCTTCTTCAAGAAAGTGGAGATTTCCTTCTTGATTTCTTCGAATCTAGCTTGGCTGTACTTGGCAGTGTCCATCTTGTTGACGGCAACAATCATTTGTTTGATACCAAGGGTGTATGACAAAAGGATGTGTTCTCTGGTTTGTCCGTTCTTTGAGATACCGGCTTCGAATTCACCAGTTCCAGCAGCAACGACCAAAATAGCGACATCAGCCTGGGAGGTACCAGTGATCATGTTCTTGATGAAATCTCTGTGGCCCGGAGCATCAATGATGGTGAAGTAGTACTTTGGTGATTCGAATTTCCACAAGGAAATATCAATGGTGATACCTCTTTCTCTCTCAGCCTTGAGGTTATCCAAGACCCACGCATACTTGAATGAGCCCTTGCCCATTTCAGCAGATTCCTTCTCGAATTTCTCCATAACTCTCTTATCAATACCTCCGCACTTGTAGATCAAGTGACCGGTGGTGGTGCTTTTACCAGAATCGACGTGTCCAATGACGACAATATTAATGTGAACCTTTTCCTTTGGCATTTCCTGTGTGTGACTCTATTCAGTTCGGCCCACTTATATACTTATTCAACCCTCAAAACTTTTTCTCATGTCTTGTTTTGATACTTATTTTTTTATTTTTAATATTATTTACTATAAAAATTATTAATATTAAGACAAAGATGTTTAGGGTTATATAAGCCAATTAAATGCAAATTTCATTATTTCAAAATTTGTATAAATAAAGATTTTAATTAATTTTTTTTCAAAATAAACAGAAAAACGTTAACATCATTTCAATACAATATTATATTATAATAACTAAATAATTAGTTAGTAAAATGTTATTTATTTATTAACAATTTTTTAAACATTATGATATAAATTGTTGGAAGTTTATTGAGTCTTTATATAATCAACCACGGTCTATTGATTGTTGTCTCATGAGAGACAACAATCAATGAACACTTTGATTATCTCATCATATAATCAAAGTGTTTTATTGAAATATATTTTTTATACTTAATTAATTTAAGTATAAAAAATAAAATGTTTCATGAAATAAATTTAACATTAAATATTTGTTTAAGAAATGATTTGAATAACATCGTTTTGTTCTTATTTTATTAACCATTTATTTAACAAAAAAGATGAATATACAACGTTCAAGTATTGTTATAAATTAGTTATTTAAACATTTTTAAATTTGAAAAAAAATCAAAAATATTTCTTTTGTTCATAATGTAATTTGTTATTTAACTGATAAAAAACAAAAAGTCATTTTCAATCATTTTAGACAATATTAAATATGATATTATACTCTGTCATTAAATAAAGACAATTAACTTTTGTGCTATCTTGTTTTGTTAATTTTGTAAGGATAAGTTCCACTTTTCAGTTAATTAATAGTTGTTATGTTAAGACTAATCAATTCAAAATTATAAACTATATATTTTAAATTATTGTTTTTGAGAATATCAAAGATAATTGGATGATTTCGATTTGTATTTAAGTTAAAATGTGGTCAAATTCTGTATTATTATTAAGACAATAATGATAACCTCAAATTATTTGTGATTGTATTAATTTATATTTATTTTATAAAAATGAAAAGAATTTATGTTAAAAACATGTTTTTATGTTTCAATAATTCAATTTTTGTTTTTGAAAAGAAGAGGTAATGTTTTGTTTTCAAAGATAAAAAGAATGGTCATTCAAAAACATCTCACATTAAATTTTAAATAAAATGAGGTTTCTTCTCTTCTTAGCTTGCTTGGTTTTGTCATTAAGTCAAAATGCATGTTATCAGATAGATACAGCAAACAGTTGTATTAAAGATGGAAACACTCCATGTAGTGGCGCCGTTTCTATATCAGGAACAAGTGTTATTGCTATTTGTGAAAATGGGTTCAAAGACAATAAACAAATCACAAGTATAACAATAAACCATGAACATCAATTTTCATTGTATAATTCGGCGTTTGAAGGAGCAACAAATCTTCGGACATTTACTTCAAATCGGTTTATTATTAACATTGGTGTAAAAACATTCAAAGGTGTTCCTCTTTGATGGCATTTGATGTTAGCAGCGTTAATAGGATACCTGAAAGTTGTTTTGAAGGGTGCTCGTCATTAACAACAATTACTGGTTTTGAGAGAATTACTGAATTTGGTATTTCTTCGTTTGCAGAAACTGGATTGACTTCTCTCACCTTTGGAGATTCAGTTGTTTTGTTAGGGAATAAAGCATTCCAAAGTTCTAAATTAGTCCAGGTCATATTACCAACAAAAGAATTACGAACTTTTGGAACTAATGTGTTGAAAATTGTAAAAATCTAAAAAGGGCGTATTGGGGTGGAAATGCAATTATACCAGACTTCACTTTTAATTTGTGTGTCTCATTGACCGAAATAACAAATATTGGGAATGTGGTCTCTTTTGGAGAATCATCATTTGACTTTACACAACTATCAGATATTTCATTTTCTCCAAATATAAAAAAATTGGAAAATATGCTTTTCGAGCAACTAGAATGATAAATGTTGTGTTGCCAAATAACCCACTTGAAGAGTTTGGAGAAGGTGCTTTTAGTATATCGCCCACAATAAAATCGGTTGTTCTTGGTGGCACAACTAAACTCCCCAAAGACACATTTAAAAATTGTGCAGCAATTGATGCAGTGAATGGACTTGATCGGATTATTTCATTTGGTGAAAGTTGTTTTAAGGGGACTTCAATCACTAATTTCATTTTTAATGACAATGTTGAAATGATCGGATCACGAGCTTTTGCATTAACAAAGATAAGCAATATGAAACTTCCAGAGAGTCCGGTTACAGAACTTGGGAATGCAATTTTTGAAAAATGTACTTCTTTGTTCCACATAGATTTCGGAGGTAGTACAATTATTCCACAAAACACGTTCTC